AGAGCTGATAGTGAGTTAAATATGGCATAGAAATTATTTATAGCAGTGCTATCAAAGCGAATGCTTTGCAGCTGTCATACCCATCTCAAACTTCATTGGCTGAGATGAGGGACTTGAAATTTTATTTGTGTGATGCGTATCAAGGTCCTTGGTGACATAATACTTCAACATTTAAACTTAGAATTGCTTGTTTATAAATCGAAAACAATGAATAACGCCTCAAATTTTATGAAAAGATGTGTTACGCCACAGAGTTTTGCACCGCATCGCCTTAGTTGGCGTAACATCTGCGCGTTTCTAGAAGTCACAGGTCCTATGAGGTGTGGGACTGTCACTGTAACCCAATAATACGGTGATATGTTGAAAGAACAAGTCTTTGAGAAATCTAACTAACTTCTTCTTCCCCTATTCCAAATATTAGGAAATATGGTAGATCTTGAGATAGAGTAATTACCTTTTTGAAAGAGTTTTTTAGGACGACATACCTCTCTGAATCGCGCTTGTCCGCGTGTAATATAGCCAAGTCGGCATTTTGGGCATGGTCTTGGCGCTGGTTTTGGAGGCGGCGACGAGCCATTTTTGGCATTAGAGTCCGAATTCGCATTTGCATTTGTGTTTACGACGAGATTGATTCCACCTGCGCATCATCCAAATCATTGATGGAATTTTGAACGAGATAGTTAGACATTAGCTACAAGTTCATGTTGCGGACTTCTTCTTTCAACGTCGTAGAACTTATTTGTAACAAACATCAATGCTTCATGATTTGAATTTTAGAACATCTCTGCTTGCTGAAGGTGCGGAATAGATGGAATTAATAATCAAATGTTAGGAAACTTATCAAAATCTAAGGCGCAATACCGTTGCTCAGGTAACAGTTAACAACTCTGAATCTCTCAATTGGTGAAAATCATAACATCGACTCTTAAGAAAGCATTATTTGCTAAGATTCATTAAGCAATAAACTGTTAGAAGTTTAAATGACTGATAGCCTTACCTGCCTGGGTAGGCGCTGTACCTATCCCTCCGGGCATTCCCATCGAATTCATTGGCATTGTTGGCTGTTGCGGAAACATTTGTGGCATTTGCATAGGCGCTGTGTATCCTGGCATAGCTGCCGGTGCGGCCGCATATGCCATAGTGGGCTGAATTGTTGGGGGAGATCCCACACACGGCATTCCAGGAGCTCCTATCCCTGGCACACTATAACGACAATTAGTCGAGCATATCATGTGTTATAGCTTCAAATAGAAGACTTTAATTGCAAAAGGAGCTTCCCTTATTCCTTGTTGAACTGGCTGTGCCGAAAATTGCATTGGCTGCGCTTGACCCTGGATAAGTTGCGGTGTAGTCGGCGCGGTAGAGTAGGGTAACGGTGTGTTCGGTGCTGCCTGTTCTATCTGTGCAGTTTTTATTGTAGTCACTAAAATAAAATTGCGGGCTTTTCTGCTTGCTAAAATTTCAGCAAAAACAAGTGCTGACTCACTTTCAATAGGTGGATTAGTAGGTGGATGTGAGCTTGCTGAAGCTGCAGCAGGCTTCGCCGCAGATGGGCTTGGTTCCTTTTTCTGCAATATCCAACACATTAAACAAGAAACAGACCCTCCCTTTCACAAGAGAAAAAAGAGAAGTGGGAAGAAACTGCTCAAAATCCCTACCACACAAACTTACCTTTTCCGGAACTATCGTGTCATCTTTCAGGGTCACATCGTCTGCAGGTGCTTCACCTCCAGGATAAGGTGGAGGTGGAGTGGAGTGCATGTTAATCTGAAAGATTTTTTTGAACTGGACTTGAAATAAG